GAGTGATTCATGGCGAAATTAGCCAAAAACATGATTCTGGTACAGAAAACTCTCTTTACTTTTCAAAGGAGCTCCACTTTTTCAACTCGATGATCGCTGAAGATTAGAAGTTAGTCTCCTACTATAACCCTGTGAGGAAGCGGCAGTAAGTCAACAAAGGAGAACTGCTAGAAGTCACCCTAAAGGCCGACCTTCACCCCAAGAAGATTCTTCTGTCCTGTTGGTGGTCCAGAAGAGGCATGAAAAACACGGGGAGCTGCTGGAGAAGGGATGGGCGGTTGACGCTTAAACATACGTTATCCAGCTGCTGAAATTAGGGGATCACGCCGACTATACTCGTGGAACGAATGCGGGAATCTACTTCCACCATGACAACGCCCGACCTCACACCGCAAAGGCGACCCAGCTCGAGCTGGAGAAGTGCGGATATCTTGATTATCGCCCAGGCCCTCTTCAGCCCTAAACCCGCTTCTTCCGACTACTGGCTGTTCAGCCACCTGCAGCGCTTTCTGGACGGGAAAAAGTTTGAAACACAAGATGATGCCAGAAAGGTACTCGACGACTTCTTCAAGTCCCACCCCCCGTCCTTTTCGGAAGATGGAATCGACAACCTATCTGAGCGTTGGCGTCGAGTAGTAGGTGGTGATGATGCAGACCTCTAATCTTCAGATTGGTTCGCTACTGAGATATTTAAAAACTCGTCGGAGAAAAAACTTATGCATCAACCTAATATAAGAACAGAAATTAAGTAAGGCCAACTAAAACTCTACGTTCGCTAAAAACGTTGATCCACGAGAGCAATTAAGCTTGCGTAGCACCGGCAAATTTGGTCAATCCTGGACTTGGCAGAAATTTGCAAGTATGAGCAAGAATGATGAACCTATTAGTTGGGGTGCTGTCACAAGGGATAGCAATGAAGGTCCTATCTGTTACAGTTCCACTTGACCCGCATCACCCGAGAAAACAGCTCTGTTAGGAAGTCTTTCAGAGCAGAGATGGGAAGTAGTTGGGGTTGTCGTCAGAGACGGCGTTAAGAGGTCTGGAGTGGTTCAGTGGGCACATAATTTCGAAATCGAAAACGATCGAATTTGTATGTAATGAATCGAAGGTTTGGGTGAAAGAGATATTGTAAAGGAGTTTAAGGGGTTCATTGTTACAGCTTAGAGCGTTAACCCAAGAATTTGCATTCGGCCCTGAGATCAGCCAGTTGAATGCCGGACCGAACTTTTCTTGGATGCCGACGCTATTTCCAGCGGCCCCATGCTTCACCCTTTTCCCTACAGAGGATGGGTGCAATTTTCGGTGCGATGCTTGAGGAAAGTTCTTCTAGAATGGTGTGTTGGAATCCGCTTTAAACGAAGTAATGAAAAACGAAGTGGAATGCCAAGGGTGGTCTGTGATGCGGGGGAGTGAGCATTTTCCGAGTTCTTTCCTGGGATACATGAGGTCTACCTTGTTCAGCCAATAATTAGAATAAACAGATGATCTTATTTATTACCTATTAAATTGATGAACATGGCGGAGGTGGTACAGTGGCAAGTGGCGCACTATCACTTGCGCATGGTCCAGGGATCGACTAACGGATCGATATCTGCCTAGGCCAGCCAAGCGTTCTATCTCTCCGGGGTCGGTTTATTGGTACCAGACTCGTCTGGGATGATAAAAGTGCTAGCTTGAAATTCCTGGTTTCCGAAAGTATTGCCTGGGCCAAAAATGCATTCAATATGCCGCTACGATTCCGAATGGAAGACGAATGCGGGGTGCATCCATCAGACGGGATTGATGACTATTAAAAGGTCTCATCCTTTACACTTCAAATTGGTGGACATGATAAAAACTCGTTCAGAACCCCTAAAAGTACTGAGGACCACAGTTGAGCTTAGAACACTTGAAGCCTTCCTTCAGCTCTAGGCTTCTTATTGTCTCACTGTCTTGTGAAGATCATAACGAAGCCAAGGGAAAAATATTCACGACTCTTGGGCAAACTTGTATGTATTAATGTAGATCAAATATTTAATCATCAATAAAATGTGAGGGCTATCAACTTCCTGCTATCTAAAATTTTCTAGAGTTTAGATCAGATATTCGGCTACCCTCATTGTAATAAAAAGTTCAATGGCCTGCCCTTACATGACCCCAAAATCCCTCCCAACGTGATCCCTATCGTTATTCTTGGCCAACAGGGTCTTCTACTAAAATAACCATTATCCATTTAACTCATAATTATAAAATGCCCTCTTATTTACGTTCAGCTACCTTTGTTCGAATCCTACTTGTTCAGTTCAACGGAACTCTATCTTCCGTTCAATGATAAGGTAGTCATATTGTGGCTGTACAATTCCCGGATAAGGTGTGAATTCAAAGAAGTTATTCTCACATTCTCTCGTTTATTTTCTCACGCTGACTTATATAGCGTATGAAATAAATAAATAAATAAATAAATAAATAAAGTTCCGTGACATTTTTTAAGTTGTACGATGCTCCAAACAACAAAGTGTAGCCCGTGGTTTTAACTTCAATGCCATGCGCTTTTTGCAAATCCACGTATTGAGGGTGGAGCACGTTTACTCATCCATATTCGGTTCACTTTTGTATATACACAAACGTAAATTGGTGTTTTTCGAATGAAACTCACTTTTGTTTCATCATAGCTATTTCTGGTTCCTATTTGGGTGTACTGGTTTGTCGGAGCGACTGGTTCAACTTTAAGGTTAAGGTGTCTGCATGGGTTACCATGGTTTTCCATCGTTTTATTTTCGTTTTATGCAGAGCAAAGGTTAAAATCGATACCGACAAATGCCCAAATATGGGTCCCTTTCTAGTAAAATCAGGAATGTTTTGCATGTGCTCTATTGTGTTAAAAAGACCAAGAGTGATTGTGATATGTGGTTATCTTTCTTCAGTTTTATACTGAGAAAGCTCTTAAAATTTGTTTATACTGATTCTAGCCTAAACATGTCTCAGGGAATCAGTTTTGGTCGATTTACATTTGTATAGTAAGTATTTGAACTTTTTGATCCATGAACATCCCGTGTTGGATCGTTTTTTTTTTGCTCGTACCCTTCTCCATTTCCTGCTTGATTGCTGTGTTCCAGCGCTTTCGCCGTCATTCGTGCTCACGCACGATATGGCTACCAATACATCTGAAAGTGATGGTCGGAACAGTCAGGCCAAGTCTAAGGTTCGTTAAGGAATTACAGGATTAGTCTTACAATTGGCGAGTTGCGGACAAAACATAGGCATCGGGCGGGATTGAATTTTCGGTTTCGAAGGCCGAAAATGTCAACCCCGTCCGTGGACAAAATATTGAGCCGAAACAAGCTACATCAATGAGTAGTTTTCTTGAATAAAACAATCACCTATAAACAATCATTTGCTTTCGATCTGATTGCTTTCTACTGTTATAGCTGGACACTCTGAGCCGTGAAGATCTGATCCGTTTTGTTAAGCGCCAACTAGAACATGTGAACTTGTCCAAGATGGAGATCAAACGATTGAAGCAATCACTGGTAATCTTTAGTCTTTCTCATTTTGCGGAAACTTGGCCTGATTCCAGGGCAGTGGTGTGCATGGTGAGCCTTTGGGCTTCAATCTATAAAGAGTCTCACCGTAAATGCCGCAAAGTTTACGAGGTTCCATTTGTTGAATACTTTTGTGCAGTAGTAGCGGCATCTTCAGCACAGTGAGCAAATTATAAAAAATTTGAGGACAGTAATCTCGTACCGTATTGCGTTTGGCAAGCAGATTTTGAACCCATCACGGGGTTCATGGTATTAAATTACATCCCGCAGCACATCCTCCCAAATATTTGATTATCTGTCGTTTTCGTATATCTGCTAATTTTTGATGACTTCATTTTTAAGGAGGAGAAGGATGCTGCAATAAATGATCTGCTCGCAGAGAATTCGCAACTAAAGTCATCGGAACGCGAAAACAATGAAGATCAAGTTACTTCACCTGCTGAGGTCAGCTGTGATTACTTGGAATCTATTCCTGTCCGTTGTTGCTACTCAAATTTGTTCCCCGCGCCTAATAATCTTGAATTCCGCATTGGAACTGTTTTTTTATCTCCCGTTCTATTAATATCTTAAGTAGATCAAGGATTTCAGAATGGCTCCGCGGTCAATGCTGATATGGAGCAATTGCTTGAACTCAATGCTCAGTTAACTAATGAAATTGCCCTTTTGAAAAAAGAGGTAGTTTTCATGTTTTTACACCCATTTTCTATTCTACGCTATTTTATGAGCTTTGTGCTTCTTTTTCGAGCTATTTCTGGTTTCTTTGAGAACATTTCATGTTAATATAGTTTAATTTGCTACTGGAATTATTGCAATCTTACCTACCATTAGCGAGTTACCATGCTCCGCTGAAATGGCTCTGCTTTTGTAAGCAGTGTAAGGTACTTCTCTTTACTCCTCTTTACTCTACTTTGTTCTGCTAGTTTGTTCTGTTCTACCTGTTTAAATCGGGCTCCCGATGTATGTGGAAGGTTAGTTCCACAGAATAGTTTTGCATTCTAACTTTCTACTCCTATAGGTTGTAGTGGCTACCCTCATTGATGAATGAGCGTGATACTGGCTTGTACAGTCTTGCATTTTGTTGCTCTACTGGGACCCTACTGCCGCAGTGTTTTCTGCCCAATCCGTTATAAGTGAAGGTGTGGCGATAAGTTCTACCAACAAAATTCTTCATCAGGTAGCGAAGGGACTATGAACAGTAACGTTACGAGTTTTTTTCACTGCATCAGGCTATCGATAGCATGTTATTCGCATGCCAGCTCTACAACAGCTGCGGCTAGTTTGTTTGCAAGCTCTAAAGCATCCACAGTCTTTCGGAACGTACTGCTTTTCTTGGTGTTGCCTCTTGCACTCTTCATCAGAAGGTCCTTGAAGATCGTTCCACATTACATAGTTCATATCATTGCTGCACCACGCCGTTGCACATGGGGATGTCCATTCACATGTACTACAGCTATGCTTGTCGACCATTCACTGTGCGACTCATCGTGGGAAACTTCGCAAAAGTTCGCTCAGTTGGTCAACTTTCTCCCATTTTGAATATTATTCCAGCGAACTCGCCACGAAGATGACCTTGCCGCTGTTCTGCAGACGAACAATCACCTGCGATCCCAGCTGGATGACGCCCTTCAAGAGGCTGCAGCACTTCGAGAACAACAAACTGCCACAGATGTCTTTTCGCTAGAACTTAAAGATTACGAAAAAAAGGTAAGCCGTCCGATTTTTCACTGTTGTCAACATACACATTCTCATGCCTTCCTGAGTAGCCATATTTTTTCGTCGTTTTTTTCTCCATGGTTCTGCCATGTTTTCTCCCCTGAAAAATCCTTATAGTTCAGAGAAAATTTGAGGAAGTCTCTGTAGAATCGGTACTTCGGGGAGAATTTATGGCATAGGAGTAATTGAAGGGGTTAATAGCCACAACGACAGGCATTATTTGACATCGTCCGTGAATCGTCATGACTATGGGTTTTAATTTGCAATGTGTAATCTATTCTTTCCTCTAGATGGTACAGCTTAACAAGTCGCTCAAAAGTGCCGAAACTGCTCTCGAAGCAATCAAGGCTGAAAAAGAAGAACTGATCCAGCAGTTGAGCACCCAAAAGTGAGATGTCGTACTTTTTCAAATCGATATATTCCATTACTATTACCTACCCCATAGTTGATATTTTTCAGAGGTTCAAGCGTTCGCATTACCACAGAGTGCTCCGTGCTTCAGCGACAGCTCCAGGAAGTTAAAAACGAGTTAAATGGTGAGGGTTCTATCTTCGGTACCTATAATTTTACCTCATCTCCAAGGCATTCGAGTTGGTTATGTTTCATGCCCGATGCTTTTGTTTTATATTGCTTGTTTTAATGTTTTTTCGTACCGACCGAACCTTCTTATCCGTTCACTAAGGTTTCTCTTTCTTGCACGGTCTCTTTTTTAGGGTTTCTAGAGTTATGCTGAACTATTGTGGCTCGATCCTTATAATACCAATCTTAATCAGCAATTAACTTTTTTTTTNTTTTTTTTTCTCTAGTTCTTTAGCAATCGAAGGAAAGTGTCGAGTTCACAATGGTCACGAACAAGGGAATCAGTTTGTATGACACATCCAAGTTTTTTTCGGATGTTGTTCCTACGGGCTGCCTCTTTATTCTAAAAGTGGGCCTCTAGCGTGAATCTCTCTTGAACCCAAGTTGACTTCTTCCCTGATATAAATAGGAATATTTGTGATCTTCAGTACTCATATGTACATCGTTTCGAATTAACACTATGCTAACCGTGATTTACCTAATGGTGGTGTCCGGAACTGATGCCAAATGTGTGCTGCGCGGAAGTCGACGACTTTCCTCCTTTTCGACTATTTCTTTTATCCCCACGCTTCATCTCGTAGCTTCCTTTTATCAGCTCCCGGTTATAAGTCATTCTACGTGGAACAGGTTTTTTAGGCATTTCTAACACCTGCTAGTTTATAAGACTATTATTTCGTTTAGGTTTTCGAAGGGATCAGCATCTCTTTTAGTTTCGAAAAGATGAAATGAAAAAAAATGAAAAAGAAAAAATGAACAGATGTGGGAAACGGGTCAATAAACCAAACGGAGGTCCATCTGCTGTGGGCGGGGCGTCCACGAAATGACGGTACTTTTCAGACGCACCCCCAACTCGATTCAACGGAGGTGTGGAGGCCAGAAAAAAAACAAAGGTAATGACAAAGGCCTAGTATGCGCTAGACATGCGCAACTTAGCGAAGCTCCGCCTGCGATGGGTGAGCGTGCATTCAACTAATTGTATGAGATACTTTTGGAAACTAAATATGACTTAAAAATGGTCGGATGCTAGTGGAGGAATACGGCAAAATCGAAAAAGGGGATTGGGAATGCAACGAGGTGGGCAGGGCCAAGTTCAAAAATTCATAACTCTGTTCATGAACGTCCTTAAAGCGCGAAAAAGATGGTTAGAGGTTACAGAATCCTCACTATATGTGATCCATCACCAAAATTTCCATATTTTCGCCATGAAGAAGAACGTTTGACTGAAATGAATGGCGGTACCTTGGACGGAGGTTTATGGACCTCAGACAGTATGCAAAGCGCGATTCCAAATTCCTCACAGCTTTATTCGGTGTGTGTATGATATATATCGGCTTAAGGGTTGAATCTGTAGAGCCTAAGACATTTTGGAAATTAAGGATAAAATCTTGGGGTGTTAATCAATCTCATCCGAGGGATGCGCCCTCGCATTCGAATCCCATTCAGATCGTAGTGGCGTATTGAATGCGTGTGTGGCCACAATGACTTGCGGGGACAGCCGATGTACGAGTCAATGCATTTATCCTCCCACACGAGTCTGTTCTAAATAAATGACTCCGGAACAGTGGAAGGGCTGGTTGGCTCAAGCGAATATCCATCTAGGATTCGAACCCGTGATCGTGCGTGTGTGATAGTGCGCTAGTTGCTACTACACCACCTCTCCTTTTTGGAAATAAGAGTAAGTATAGTTTATAGGAAATGTTGTTCCCATCTATCCTATTACCATTAATTTCTGTTGAAATGGAAGATTCCGAAGCTTCTTCCATGTCAGATTTCTTTTCAGGCTCCTTTTCAGTTTTTCTTGGTAAAACTGTGGTGATACTTACAGGGGCAAGAGTGTACCTAGAAGTTTCCGATTCAGATTTCTTCCATATTTCTACTTCTGGATGTTTTCTGTTAACCTTCTCTGTTACAGAAGAGAAATCTCGTAACCGTGAACTATCAACAGCTATGGATCGTCTTCAAGACAATTTTAATGTATTGGTATCGGCCAAAAACGATGAACGGGTTACACTAGAGGCGAAAATTGCGCATAATGAAGAATTAACTAACTTGTGAGTTACTTTTTGTTGTTGCTTTCTGTCGTCTGTTTCATTGGTATGAAATCCTAAGTTCACTACGCCGCATCATTTTAATTAATATACCAAAAGGGAACAAATGCTGTCGTGTGTGGTACTCAAGTTCAAAGTATACAGTAGAGTTAAACGCTTTGCAACCGCTCGCGCTTTGTCTCCATGTGTGGCGGCCACTTTCAGTGCTTGATTTTTACATTTTTTTTTTGGTCCCAGTGTGTTTACCGCTCTCTGACCTTGTGTCCAGTGTCTTTGTGGTAGCTTCACTTCTCCCCGGAGTTTGGTAGACAGTCGACTTCAGTGCTGTGGAGAATTTTCAGTAGTGAGTGATTAGAGTGTTAGACATGAGCACCCAACTACAAGTCGGGAGGTTACAAGCTCGTCTCTCTGGAAGAGGTACATTTGAATCACTCAAGATCACATCACTCTCAACTCCAAACTGTTTTTACTGTCCCACTGTTTGTGTGAGATAATGGAAAGCATGGTTGACTATCAGCCGTTGTGGGACCCTAATAGATGTCGATTAGGAAACAGCGTGTATCGGAGTAAGGTCTGATCAGAGAGCCTTAGTATGAGAAAGAGGACAGAAATGGGAAGTGAATGATTCTTAAACTAAAATAAGCAGAGCCGTTTCTACGGATTGTTTCCTAAACGCAGTGGAAATGCTTATCGTTACTTCTGTGATATGCATATTCAATCAGTGGCCCCCTTCCGAGGTCGATTCCGGTGCCAACAGCAACACATTTAGCGCTATCTCAAGACTCAACTACGCGTATAGTAAGTTTGGTTAGTTTACTGATAGTTTTGTGAAGGATTTTTTCCCCCCATCAACGTATATGAAACGAGACTCCCTTAATGGTATGCAGTCCTCCCCTTTATACTGGCTTCCAAAACATGTAAACAAGCAACGGCGTATGCATGAACTACGAGTAATGGCATCGGCCACGTTACACTTCAGAATAATGGCATCGGCCAAGTTACACTTCAGAACAAGCCATGCTACTGACTTTACCATTCCGACAAAACCAGTCGGGCCACTCGGCTAACGCCGTGCTTCCTTACCTCTTATGTTAGGGTTGTAATGATCTGCAGATTGACCTCCTTATTTGGGGGCCATATGATATTTTTCGGAATACGAAATTCGACAGAGGAGTAATAGGGCGTGCGAGATGTATTTGAAATGAGCCTATGTTTATGCCTATGATTAGGAGTTTCAATCTGTTGCAGTTCATCTCAAAATAATGAACCATTGAAGGTTCAATGGTTAGGAAACCAAAGCCTTGAACGCTTTCTACAAATGTTGTCGAGCCATATATTATCAAATGTCTTTATCAGTAAAGCTTTTCTCCAAGGATATGCCAGTAAATGAGAGTCCAACATTAGTAGCGGTCGGATAAGTTTTGCCAACAATGATATCGAAGCGAAGAGAAACAGTGATGCTTCACTGAGTCGCAAACTTCGCTGGGTAGCGGTTGTGAACTAATCGCAAGAATGGACCAATTTTTATCTCCTGAAAAATTGGTACTCTTAGTCGGTCCCTATCACTGCACTTACCCTTCTTGTCGAGTAGAACATGTCAAGAGTCAAAGCTAGACCGTAAATAACAAAGGCGTTGGATTTAGTGGGTGAGTGGATCTTGCTTCCTGAGGACTCTTCCATCGTCATTGTTACCATTCTGCCTTCTCTTTTCCCATGGGGAACCCCGCCCCTTGTGGGCGGAGTCTGGACCTGTCACTCACCATAGGTTTTCCCATCCTGCCGTCTGTAACCCTACCGAGCTGGAACGCTCAAGAACCCTACCCCCCTGTGGGTGAAATCGGTCCTTCCACTCACCATAAGTGTTCACATCCTGTGTCCTGTAATCCTACCAAATCTGAACTTTCTAGGTCTACGGGCAGGAGTTATGAATTCCTGTTGAAACCCCGCCCTTTGTGGGCGAAGCCCGGTCATGCCACCCAACATAAGAGTTACCATCGTGCCATCTGTACTCCTACCAAATTTGTACGTTCTAGGTCCACAGGGACAGCAGTTTGGTTCTCTTCCGGTCGGACACACACACTCACATAAACACACTGTGTCATAACTTCTGTCCCCGTGGACCTAAAGCGTTCAAACTTGATAGGAGTGCAGGCGGCAGGATGGAAACACTCATGGTGGATGGCAGGACCGGACTCCACCCACAGCGGGCGGGGTTTGTGCGAAAAACTTAAATGTGGACCTATAACGTTCGGATTTTGTAGGAGTAAGGATTAGAGGTGGCACGATGGCGAAACTTATGCTGGGCGGCAGGACCGGACGCCGGCCACCGTAGGGCCGTGGGCGGGGTTTGAGTGGAAAATTATAGCTCCTGCTTTCATGACTAGGAATATTTGGTGGATGTGCGTGCGGCAGGATAGGAACACATGTGATGGGTCGCGAGATCGGACTCCATCCGCATGGGACGGGGTTTTTGCAAAAAATTAAACTTGGACCTAAAGCGCTTATATTCGATAGAAACACAGACGGCAGGATGGGAGCACCTATATCGGGTGGCAGGACTTATCTCCGCTCACAGAAGGCGAGGCGTGGACAAAAAATTGTTATTAATTTAGACTTGAAGCGAAATTTTGCAACCAAGGTTAAATAAGTCGGAAATAAATCGAATTCAACACACAAAGCTAAGGAGGTTTGTTCATGGCGGACGGGGCGCGCACGAATTGTGTTGGGTATTTGTGTTGTTGGCCGGGAATAAATATTTCTTATTTTCATCTATCGAAGCGTCCAAATTCGGAAGGGGTGCAGGCCGAGAGGCCATTTTAACACGAGAAGGAGGGGAGCCCGGCGTCAGCCGGACAATCCGGCTGGTTTGTTCATAGCTCCGCCCACCTCAGTGCGCGCTCCGCCCACTTGGGGGCTTTCATCATTTTTCATCAATGGCGTCTGAACACCTTTTTTACACACTACAGAACGTTTTTGAATAAGGTTATACATAATTTTAAAGAAATGAGCTATGAATCTGTGTATAAAGTACCGCTCACGTTGAGCACGCTTCGTTCACAGCAGGTGGGTCTCCTTCATTTGATTTGTTGACCCATTCCCAACCTTTGCCCATTCTTTCCTAGTGTCTTGGCTTTCCTGAGGCCATAATAAGTTGTTTTGCCGTGACCACCACCCCTTCCGGTGCAAGTGCCGCCCCCTGTAGGCCGAGTATCACTGAGCTCGCATGTGCCCCGGACCTTGCCCTAGGCTGCAACCGTCCCGAACTTGACACATCTCTCTAGGTGCTTCTTCAGGAGACAGCGAATTTTGTGGCAGACAAACAGACAAATAAACAGGCAGACAAACAAACGGACGCACCAAACTTCTGGTTTATATATAGTAAGGATGAGAATACTCATTCCCCAATGTTATGACCAAAATCGTATCGGGACATCCTACAAGAAGGATTTCTTTTCAGTTTACAAAGATCTAATGAGCAGAAATCAATGGAGATCAGTGACCTTCTCGCGGAAAATCAAGTTCTGAAATCTCGCTGTGATAATTTGGAAGCTGATTACCAAGCATATAAGGTAAATTCTAAAGCAGTTGATTGTTACACTCGGCGAGTCAACATTTTTTCTATGCAGCAAGGTGACTGGGTCAAGCAGAAGCTTTTTGTTTCAAATGGTTCTCAACTCTATTGTTTTTTTTTTTGAAGTCTTGGCGGAGGTGGAGTAGTGGCAGGCGCACTATCACCACACGCACGGTCACTGGTTCGAGTTCGAGGGTTCGACATCCGCACAGGCCAACCAAACCTATCATCCCTCCGGGTCGGTTAAACGGTACCAGACCTGTATGAGAGGATGAAAGCACGTACTCGTTTACCGGCTGGCCATCGCAATTCATTACTTAGGCAAAAAACACATTCATTACGCTTCCACGATTCCGTAAAAAAGTCGATTGCGGAGGCGCATCCCTCGGACGGGATTGTTTGATGCCTAAAGGGTTCATCATTCATCTCTTACTTTTCTTTAATCTAAATTCACTTCACTTGTCTGGTTCACTGTATTCAAATAGAGCAAACCATGATATTTACAGTTCACTCATGTGTTTAGTCACGGGCACGCTATGTATTGGAACAGCAGGCTAAAACTGTTGAAAGTGACGCGACAAACAAGCACGACAATACAGAGCAAGTGAGAGAAGGGCTCGCTTGCTTGAAGCACGAACTGGAAGAGCTGCAGTATGTTTTTTTTTCGTTCTGGAGCTTTACTTTTTTATTAATTAATTAATTAATTATTAAATTATTATTCAGTAACTTCATTTTTGTTTTCTGTGCTTCCAACATAGAAAACAAAAACAAGAACTATAGGCCAGTGAAATTCAGATCAAGTGAGGTTAAACCGTGAAATGATCAGCTTTATATCATTTCGAAACGGAACTTATTCGTTATTGTTATGCAATTCATCATATATTGTAGCCTCCCTGCATTTGCACAACGGTTGTACCGTTCGATCGCAAAATGAAGCAAACTAATTGGTATAATTGGTATTTCCAGTGGCGCCCACAAGATCGTGCTCAGAGATGTTGGGAGGTATCGCGATCAGTGTGAGAAATTAGAAAGTTCGAATCGGAGTGCCAAGGCTCAATTAGCGGAAGTACAAAGGCAAAACAATAAAACGTACTGGATTTTACGTTCGCCTTCTTTTGTCCTTAGCGTCATGTTTTTTTTATTTTACAGCAATGAAGAACTGCTAAATTGCCAAATGATGCTAAAGCTTCGTGGCACTGAATGCTACCAGCTACAGGTGCGGACAGCTGAACTCGAGAAGCAGTTGCAGGACGAAGTAAACGCGAATAAAAAGGTGAAGATAGACTTACTGAAATAGTCATGGTTCCTGTTCATATTAAATGCAGTTAAGAGCGTGAAAGTACGATAGTTACGCTTCGTTTATAAGATGACCAGGCGGTTTAGCAGACAACTTGGGACAGATCTGGGGCGAAGGTTGTTTGGTGCCTTCTTATGGTTAGGCACTGAATCGTGCTGCTGTGTGCCTCTTATGTTTCTCCCAGTCCGTTCCCCCTGCCTCTGTACTGAATTACTCTGAATGATCTGTAGGTGGCGTTTTGGTGTTCAGATTAGGTTATCGATCGTCTCTATCTCCTTTCACCCATAGACAATGTCACTGTGTCCCCATATTCTTTGCAATTAGCTCCTGCTTTGAATGGAAGAATTTAAAACTTAGATCTGCTCTGCGCGCTTACCTTAGATTTCTTTCTCCTTTAATGACGGTTTTGTGGGATAAACGTCCGTTCCGCGCGTCCGTCGAAACTAAGTCACCCCGCCCACTTCGCGCGCGGCGTAGCCCACTGCGATTTCAGGATGGCATACTGTACCCATAAGGGTCTGGAGCGAATGAGTTGCACCAGTCCTCGTTATCTTCTATTTGAGCTGACTGCTGTGGACCAAGTGCAAATCATATGCCCCACCGACAGCTGCTACGCCGCGTACGACGGCTGCGGCGTGACCTAGTTTCGACGGACGCGTGCAACGAAGCACACCCGTTTTTTGGCCACATCGCGCATATTTTTCACTTACTTATAATTGCTGTACGCAGTGTTGATCGAAAAGGGGAGGATTTCTCAGTTTTTCCGGTTTTTGAAACCATTGCGCTGTTTTTACTAGGTCATAGCACCCCCTATTTCGAAAATACGAGCTCTTCATGAGAAGCCTATTTAGAAAATACGAGCTCTCAATGAGGAGATTGCCAGTAAAGCGACCATGGAAGCAAACTTGGTAAGTGAGTTGGAGCGAGAGAGGAATCGTTGTGAAGATGCTATTCGACGTCTCACTGAAATTCAAAAGGAACGTTCACGAGTCGTCATCCCCCCTGTTTTCCCACAGCACAGGTAATTTTATGTTTGGGAAGTTTTTCTGGGGTATGTGTTGTTGAAGTTGTAGATGATAACAGGGACCAGGCGAATGTTTAATCTACTTTTTATTTTTGTATTACTATGTTTGATTAGAAAACTTTATAGGGTTAGGTATGGGGCTATGGATAGGGTTGCTCGCTTGAGTTAACCTAATTCTTGCTTTACAGCCGTGAGCGCCCTACGGACTCTTATCCCCTGGCGGAGATTACTGGAAGAACATCAACGATGTCATCAAATACATTCAAAGATGAGGAAGAAGAGGTATTTCAGTTTACTTCCGTCATTTATCGGTCAGGTAACGAATGAATTCCCTGACTTTATTGGGAGGTCTTAATGGCTCTGATAACTTGTCCGGTCATAATGAATTGTATTTGCTTGAATGGACATCTATTTTAAAATTCGAACCTCAGATGTTGCTCAGTTCTTGAGTCTTTGTAAAAGATTCAGAAAAGATGCTTCACCTGACCGCTTTGATAACCTTAGCTTAGAGAAGTTTTTACTGTTTTTTACTCGTTCTCTTGGAAACAAAGGAAACAAAATGTACACGGGAAGCCTGATCCTCACCATCGCCTTCAAATGAAGCTCAGAAGTGATGGTGGCGTTCTCCCTCATAGAGACAATCATTCAAAAACGCATTATTCGATTTCTTGCTTATCCGAGAAATCTTCACGCTCAACTCTGTCACAACCAAACAAAAGATACCTTGGTCCCAGGACTAGTGGTGGTTTGAGAAATGAGTCTTATAAGTATGTTTTAAAGTGTTCGCTGAAGGCTGATCCAATAGCATGTAATGGAAGTTCTTCTGGGACTATCATCGCCAAACATCGAGGAAGTTTGGTAATGATATAGAGTACAACTTTAAGAGAGTACCTAACGCTTGAAAAGTAAGAGATTAAGGTTTCATCAATTTGATAATGGATAAAGTTGTGGGACGTTGATCAATCCCGTCCGAGGGATGCGCCACCGCATTCCACGCCTTTCCACAATCGTAAGGGAGGTATGAATGCTTATGTGGCCTGTAAAGTGATTTTCGATGGCCAGCCCATGAACAAGTCGGTGCTTTTATCCTCACAGACAAGTCTGGTACCAACTAAACTACCCTGCGGGGATGGAAGGCTTGGTTGGCCTAGCCGGTTGTCGATCCGGGATTCGAACCCGTGACTATGGGTGTGTGACTGTGCGCCACTTGCCACTACCCCATCTGCACTCTATAAGATTGATGTTTATGCAAAAACGGGGTCGACGATGGGCAAAACCGATCGGCGTGATGATTAGGAGTTAAAATCAAGAAGGTTTTGACTGCTATTGGAAGTGGTAAACAATTTTTTGGGATGTTACAAAATCGTAGGACGATTGAATCCGTTTCTGATCGCGAGTCATTGAAAATACTACGACCACCCTGCGTTAATGATACTTGAGTGTAAGGTGTTAACGGAGGTGACTGCTAGTACTTCATATATCTGTTTTCTTTCCTTACACAAAGCTCATATGGTTTTGCAAAATGGATATATAGAGATTAGCTTCGAAATACAGAAACTGGGTTAAAGAATTCCTAAGCGAACTTGGGTGTATTATATAAAGGTGAACATAACGATTTGCGAGAAGCTCGCAAGGTTGGCGACGCAAGGTGGTCGTAGTGTTTCCGCAATGGGCGGTACTTTCCACAGAGGTTCATAACTGCATCCAACGAAGGCGTCGAGGCCAGGAAAAAAAGGGTGAGCAAGGTCTTATGCGATCTGGGCATGCTGAGCTTGCCTTGGTTTGCGGGGCGTGTGTTGAGATGAAAGCTATCTAAAAGTGAATGTGACTTCGTTCGCAAACGTTCTAGAATGGGGTAAAAGGTGGTCAGAGGTGATGGAACAAATGTGATCAAAACCTCGAAGTGGGCGGGGTTGGCATTGAAGTGGGCGGAACCTAGATCAAAATTTCATAGCTCTATTCAAAAAGTTCTAGAACGCGGGAAAAAGTGGTTAGAGTTTGCGGTCGTGGACATATATGCACGCGTTAGCGTGCATTGCCCAACTGGTAAAGAAAATTCCGTCCGCAGACGGGAGTTCGAACCCGTACTTATGCTTTCCGGGGATGAGCTGGTCGGCTAATACAGCACAGAACCGTTGAGCTATTAGTTCCTTTGATATAACTTTTTGACCTGCTGTTCTATGAAAAAAAGTTAACAAAACATCAAGTCAAAACAAATTAGTGAGGAGTATTTTTTCAGTTTCAATTCGAAAATTTTGATCCCTCTCAAGGTTGACGAGTTCTGAACAGTCGGCCGTAGGCGAGACCCTAACCCGTATCCTGCTATTCGGGCACCGTGTTCTTTAGTCATCTTTAGTCTTTATGTGTCACCATCTCAGTCTTTATTCATTAGACTACCGATACCCCGCTCGACATCGCTTTTTAATGGCTTTTTCCAATAACTTATCAGCGAAAGCTCACAGCTTAACGATTAACTTTGATTTTGGCTAACCTGCTCACCACTTTTTACTTGTGAGTGCTGATAAGCTAAGGCATAAAAGAGATTAAGAAGGCAAGAACAAGCGGGGTCTCGGTAGTGTAAGGGAAAAAGAGCACGGTACCCTTATTGCACAAGCGTGGGTTTGAGTCCTGTCCAAGACCGAATTTTTGTCCATAACTGACCAACCTTGTGACACTTCCGGATCACGTACCGCGGTGGAATGTCAACAGTTAACAAAGCCAAAATAACACTTATTCTGGCCAAGTATACTTATTTTGACCGACTACATTTTTTATGGTAAAATATTGTTGCACAGTAACTGGTTACAAGCGTTCAAAGCTCTAAGTGGTATAGCTCCATTTACGGAGAACATTTTGTTCTTCTTTTTATTTCATTGTATACAAGACCTCTCAGAAACCTTATGAATAGGGAAACACATCTGGTTCAAGTACAATGCATGTATTTACACTACTACATGAGCAACTCGACAAGATTCACCTTCAACTGTAACAAGTAAATTTGCAAGATTGGGTGATGCGCCCACAGTGGATTGTATGAAACTTCAACGACTTATTCCCAGCTTCAGCGGTTCATTAAGGAGGTTAAGTTGTTAACATAATCAGGTCAAAGGCCGTTAGCCTACTGAGGTAATGGTGAACTGGCATAACCGTCAAGGTACCTCGGTAGCCTTGAAGACCCCTTCCTTTGAAATAAGGCTCCAATACTTTGCGTTGATTAACCCCACTTTTGAATGAGCCCCCTCACTCGAAATTGATTCGGAATTGTAGTAGCGTTTCGAATGCGTATGTTGCCTATGAAATGACTGCTGTGGCCCATCCGACGTACAAGTCAGTGCTTTTATCTTCCCGGATGAATGTGGTGCCAATTAACCTACATCAGGATGAATGGAAGGCTTGGTTGTTCTGAGCGTGTCTCGACCCAGGATTCGATCTCCGCGCCACGTATGTGTGTTTGTATTGTGTGCATACGTGTGTATGTGTCTGTGTGTGTATTTGAGCGTATGTGTGTATGTGTATGCTTATGTGTGTACCACGTACCGGGACACCCTTTTTCCTCGGAATTTTTATGAAAACACAGCAGCCTTATCGATTGATTCCTTTCGAGTCTAACCTCCTAATGGGAAATTTTGATCATCAAAGATACATCGGATCTGAGCTGACGAATCATCTGTTAAGTAGGGTTTCTGCCTTTCTTCGAGTTCTTGCACTTTTTCACCTAAAGACCCAGTTCACGATAATTTTGACGGGTGCGGTGCAGTAGGATCGAAATTGTCGCATCGCGGCGAGAGGGACGTGCGTGCGAAGCACAGTATAGCAAATGCAGCAGCAGGTAAGAAATACAGGAACAAAAGCTAACAGTAGAATCATGCCCAAAATAATGATCGCATGTCGATTAAGCTGTATGAAGGGCGCTAGAACAGTTATAATGAGGCAAATGGTCCGCGACAGCCGCGTGCGGCGGATTCATTTTACAAAACCGTTCCTACTGCCCATCTCCCGGGAACGCCAGTCAACGCAAGCACCGAAGGAACTCGAAATGGCGAAATGACAGCTTTTGATAGAACCATGATCACTAATAGTTTCACTAATGCGGATCAGATGTCAGTGCAATAAAAATGATCTGAAAGTTGTCAACTTAGTTATGAGTTTGCGCTAATGCCACATTCTTTCGTTTTACTGCTTAGTAAATTGTAGTACCGGTGAAGCGAATGGTCCGCGACGGCCGCGTGAAGCGAATTGGTTACACAAAACCGATCATACTGCCCGTCTCCCATTTTGGGGTACCCATTTTTAGTCGAAAATCGAAAATATAGGTTGGGAATAGTTCGTCGACAGTGAAACAAGTAAGTAAAATTGCCAATTTCTAATAAAATCAGGCTCCCAAAAAAGGAAAATACAGCTTGGTCGAGATTACCATGACGGAAATGACATGGAAGAGGTATTCGGACGAGTTTTCAGTTGTTGCAATTGCGTGAATAGCTGACTACATCAAGCCTGAACTGTACAGAACTGTCTTGCACTGTCGTTATAAGTCATGACAACTTGTTTCAACTTCCTACATGGGTTCCCCCGCGATTGGTGCAGCTGTGCAAACTTGGTATCATTACAGTACTGTGCATCTGCCGAAAAAATCTGAAAGTCCACTTGCTGGACCCATTTATGATTAAGAGAGTGATTGATTATTAATTGATTTGATGATGCCTAGTGCTCGCTTACGAACCCCCTCAAATTACAACACGCATCAAAAATCTCTGAATGATAACCTCTCTTCAAATATTCCACTGGCTCAAAAAGTCCTAAAAGGCATTATCAATAGATTAGAATTTGCTCAAGTTGCATGCCATCAGTTTTTCAAAGGAAGTCATTAAAAATGATTTGTGGTGAAAGGGTTTAACCCCCTTTTGATAGCAGAATCGAGTCCCGTTCTATGACTACTGGAACAGATTCTCACAATGATAGTACAGGATTCTCCACACTTGATTGTGGGCTTTTTTTTCAAGGGTTCAAGAAAACCATTGCATACAGCTAATACAGCTACTGAAGTTTTCTAATGCAATTCCATCTTCCGAAATTGTGCTTTCAATTTATGAGCATCGACGGACGATGGTCCGCTATTTGCTCCCTTTATCAAGTCGAAGAATAAGCTTGGCAGCAGGCCGCAGACGTCTGTCTTGCGCGTCGATGACGTTCAGAGAATTATCGGCCCACTTCATGGAAAGTAAACCAAAGCAGAATATTAAGAGAAATATCCTCATAATTTTACAATGCAAAATCCACGAAATTTTGACTCTGAAATCTTTTTTTTCGTAGAATTTGTGAGTTATTCTGAGCCTTTTCGTTAAATTGTGATAGTTTCTGCTGGCAAGGAATAATATGTGGACCTTGAATTGGTCTTCATTCGTGCGTATTGTTTAGCATATGTACTTTAACAAACGTCAAGTAAACTAGGCCCTTGTGAATGTTTATTTCGACAAGCCTTCATTACGGGGAATAGCAGATGTAGAAATCAATGGGGTGAAAGGCCTGACAAGTGTGTAGAACCAAGGGAAGGACGCCTTTATGGGGTCGGTCTGGGTTCAATCCAAGGGCCGACCTTACATGTGCTAGCAGCACTCTTGTCATTTTACTATCTTTTCGTCTTTCCAATAATTACGCCACGATTTTACCAAAATTACTCCTCATAAGAGCTCAAGACTAAGGCAAAATATGGTCGAGAAAAAGGCAGCTGAATAGATCATGAAATTTCAGAGATGCTTACATGTTCGTTTTGTCTTCGTTGATCATGAACGATATAAAATGATAGTTATTTTTTCAGAAATAGCTAGTAATGATCTAATGGCCTAACTCCAACGGTTTTTTTTTCAGCAGTTAATCTGGTCCGAATTTATCATTTTCATTTTGTTTCGGGTTTATTGTCAGCAAATTTGAAAAAACCATATTCTTTAAATGGCGACCACCTGTATGTGTTCGGTGATGGTTGCTAACCTTGTTAAAGGATCATGTGTTTTGAATATTACGACAGTAGTCGAAGATCTGCAATTAATCTTTGCGAAAACCGGTGTTTGCGAAAATGAGGAGAGACAGGTTAAGGCCATAAAAATTGTGCGCCACCTGGCTACAGAAGGCATCAGATTGATCACATGTTCATTCGATTTCTCAAAATGATTTGAGATGGAGATACCTTCAGAAAAAGGTAGAATGTTTGTTGGTGGATGATTGTTGACGAAATACGAATTGTCAGTTTAATAAAAAATACTTTTGAACAAGTTGTTAAACTTCGAAAATGTTGGATAAGTTCGTCATGAAACCTGAAACCAGGTTTACCAATGCTTTTCTTCCAGTGCTTGCAAAATTTGGTTTCCTCTTGTCAGTAGGGAAGTTTTTTGCTGGCACCGCGCTTCTATTTCTATCGATTTTCTATCGATTCATTTAAAGTGAATACAGACCAACAACGTTAACTTTGTCGGAACGGGGTAGGCCTGACATTATGATAGACAACGGATGTTGTTCCGTTACTGTGGACAGAGTGGTGGTGAGCGATTGAACCATTCCTTCCCAATCACTCCGTAATTGACCTTTCTTTGATCGGTCAATTGATCAGAAGGGGTGTAGAATCTCTGTATCAAGAACCTACTCGACCTTCATGGTGATTGTTTGTATACCATGTTCTGTAAGAGGAACTAAGGTACTGGTAGTTATCTTGACAAATGAAAAATTACTTCATGAAGGTATCGAGAATTTTGATCACTGAACTTCTCAAAAAAAGTGGATTTTAACCTAGAGTGATTGGTCATGTTCTTTTTGTGAACCATGGGTTCTGTGAAGTTCTTGGCTCAACGGTTTCATAGCGAGAGTAGATACTCGACATTGTCGGGGGTTCGCAAAAAAAAACTCATAAGCTCTACTTCTTGACATCACTGTGGCGTCAAATAGACAAAAACACCTATCAACTCCAGTTCTGTGTACATTATCTTTATTATCGTATCCGTTTGTAGGATATCTATATGTGGCTGACGATGTCGTACCGCATCAACTCTTTTCCATTCAGCCCAGCTCAACAAGGCTTACTTTAGTGTTAATGGACTTGATTTATTACAAGGCCCCTGTAGGCCATTATGGTATACCGTATGCTTCTAGGGCCTAAACAAAAAAGAAACGCCAGATTTTTTGAAAAAAATGGTTAAATCTGACAGCACCTCTAGGAGGTATCTTTCAGAAGCCGTTGGAAGAAATATTTCATGAGGCTTCTGTAATGAATTTTTTCATTTTTTTCATCGACAAAGTAGTAAAATTAGCGACGTTTTCAGCACGAGCGTACTTTGGAAGACGTACTATTCGGTGAAGAAGCTGCTGACACCGATTCACCGCGTCTCAATGACGGAAATAACGTGAAGTCTGTACATCAGCTTATGGAGCAAAATGAACGGCTTGTTAAGAATTTGCAGCACACACGAGAATTATTGAGTGATACTGAAGCGACGAATGCAACATTGGTCGCCCAGGTGAGCTACAGTCAGATTAGCAGTTGCGAGTTCTTCATTAATTTAAGCAGTAATAAGGCGTCGCGTATCATTTCCAGTAGTACTTTGAGTGGTTAGTATCATTCGAGGCCGGTACATTCTCCCCGAACACTGTATCGCGTTCGCCGCACCCGCCGCGTATCGCAGATTGGCAATGGGGTTGGAGCGCGCAGTTTGTGAGTTAGAGAGTCCTTTAATTATTAAATTTGCCGGCCCCTCCAATTCTAATGCGATCTATATCGTCGATAATATAGAGAAAGCGAAAAAGAAGCAGGAAAAATCAAAACTAATCAAAAAAGAAAGGCAGCCAACGGAAAATATTGCGTCCTATCGACTGGCGGGGAGGCGGGCTGAGTACGGTAATCGCAGTTTGTATCCGCGAGATAACTATAAAAGATTTGCCGCATGCCGCAAAGCGAACCTGGGAAATCGGGGATAAGTTCCGTCATCCGTGTCAGTCGTCAGATTGGTGGTGTTTTGCAAAAGTGATTTCTTGAACACAAAGCATTGAATGTACTGTACTGTCAAAGCAGTATTTATTCAGCTTTGCATGAACATGGTTTCAATGAACTGTGGGTTTAGCTGTCGTATTGTCGTATTGGCGATGCTGCTTTGCCCAGCCGTCATCGGACCTGTTAATTAAGGGTGAAGTAAATGACCTTACAGGTTTAGTGGGAATCTGTGATATTCGAGATTGCAGCAAACCTCCATTATGAAAAATTTCCTGTCTTATTTTCTTTTTGATTACGCTTCAAGATTTTCGGTGCCTTTCATCGTTGATGTCATTTTAGAGCTCTCTTCTGAAAGAGGAAATCCGCCGGCTGGAGAGAAATGAGGAGCGAGTGAGACACATTGAGAACAGCGAGTACTTGAAGAACATCATCATTAAGGTAACTAGTTGTTTGTTAAGGGGTCCGCTAGTGCACCTGTAGACAGGTTCTGATACCCAGTGGTATAGAAACTACTCCCTCAGCATACAGGAGAAGTATATTTAGTAGGAAGGTTCTTACTTTAGTGTACGACTACAAACTTGTATGGGAGTTTTGTTCAAGGTTAATCGTTGTAGTGCATTATCGCTATCGTTATCAGTTTTATAGTAATCCTGTTTGTATCATAATTTCATTGTAAACAATACTCACCAAGAATCAGTTAAGGGGTTCAGAACTATACCCTTTTTCTACATAGTAAAGGTGCTACTTACAAGTAAACTTGACAGATTCTGGTATTTTCGAGGAGTCTGCCAAGTTATCCATCACTGCCTAGTAGCTTTTTGGGTATTTTGAGCGATTTCTCCTGAAAACATGAAGGGACACGCGATTCTAGTTGCAGTAGCTATAGTTGCATGCAATGAGCATACGAAGAAAACTCGTATTTGAAGGTTACCGTGGATGATTAATACATTTAATGCTGTCCAAAGGCCTTTTATTCGATTTCAGTTCCTCTGTCCAGAGAGGGTTTCCGGAGAGCGTATGCAGCTGGTTCCTATTCTGACTACTATGCTTCGCCTTTCTCCAGAAGAAACTGAACGTCTCAACCGCATCGCAGCACAAGATGGTGAGTCAGCGGGAAAACGGTTTCTTTTTCCGGATGTTGTTTTTTTATGGACCGTTGCGCTGAGCGTATTTCACAAACCATTACCAGCTTATCAGACGCTATTCTTAGTTACTGAATTGTTTTCCTGAACTTATCACGAGGTTTCTACATGGAAGTTATCTATTCTTAGTTTTTATGAGGCTGTGAAACTTGTTTGATGGTTCCGACCGGTCACAATGAATTGGTGGTAGTTCCTTGTGAGTATCAGCAATGAAAGTGAAAGTATTTAGCTACGGTTGCTAATTATTGGGATAATTCTTAGGGACGGCATGAACTGGGACGTTACAGAATTTATTTTATCAAATACTAACTTCCGTATCTTGTTGGTACTTTGTAATGATGTGGGCGTTAGAATAGCATTAACAACGTTTACTCATTGGATTTGTGTCTCGTCTTATTCGCCGGTGACTGGCACATTGTTTATTTTCTACATGTGTATGTATGTTTGTCTGGGTAAATGTAATTGTTCAATGAACAGAAGCGATTTTTGTTGAGATGTAGGTGCTGTGTGCACGAAGCACAATAGATTATATAGCCTTATCGGAACATTTCTACGTGATATGACGTATCATTTCAAAAGGATCATTCAATGGCATTGTCTGCTCACTGTTTGTTAGTGGTAAAGACAGTAGCAGCCACTGTTTGACAGCCGTCTTTCACTCCATTAGACGAAGTTTGAAGCTATAAAAATGACTCGGCAAGAATTCCAGTGAACTTTTCCGGAGGAGATCGTGCTCAGGCTTGTAGTAAGCAGTAAAGGGGTATCAGTCAGCAACACAAAGAAACTTGTTGTAATCGTTTGCGTTAAGCTTAAATCTGATGGTACAATATTCAGAAGCGGCTCGTCGTGAATCCGAGGGCACGTGGGGATCTTATCTGCGCTGGGGTCGCCTCAACTAGATCTTTCATCGAGCAAGAATATTCCTTCGTTACAAATGCATGGCTTATGCCAGAATATTCAGTGTTGCATGTGTATCTTATGTGATGGGCAAAAATTTCACTTCTTAACACCGGTCTTTTGTACCTATGCTCTGGTTATGAGGGCATGATTTGGTTTCATCATTGTCATCTCGTTCTTCATCTTCTCTTTAGGTTTTGTCGCATTTTTATTTATCAACGAATTAGATTGTATGTCATCGAAGATGTCTTTATACTAGTTGTTGCAATGTGTTTCTCACGGGATATGTACATGGATATGATATAAAGAATTTTATTGTTCTTTCATTGAATGCCATTGTTTATTTGTTGACTTGAATCTGATAAGTGAGCTTATCTCGCATTATCTTTTGGTACGCTAATTTTCGTTCCTACATTTGTGGAAACGCTCTTTGATTTCCATTTACCACATTACGCTATCGCCTAATACCAACCATTTTGACCAAGTTGAGTGATGTTGTTTCACGGTCGGGCGATGATGTCCTTTCTAGCGAACACCAAGTGCAGGCCACATATCTCACGTATTTCGATCTTTCATCCTTCTAATGGAAATACTAAACACAGTAATCCTACGGCTATTGGTGGTTTCAATTCTGGTTTGATGTTTTGTTAACTGCTGTTATTTCGCCGCAGTACGCGTTCCGAAAGTCTTACAAGGTTGGTGCCCGGAAACCACAAGTACGTTCGGGACGGGTTCGGGTCCCGTCCGAAACTGAAGTTTTGTTCATAAATCGCCAACCTTGTGAGGTTTCAATTCTGTTTGCTGGTCATTGCCATCGCAGTTTGGTGGTTGGTGGGTGGTGTTGAAGATCCTGTCGTATGTGTATGTGGGTGTTTCACGTAGCTAGATCTGAGATTAAATTGGCTACAAAGGCCACTGATGCTCTTTGCTCTTCCGGGCTACGTAATTTGGACCCGTTTTCAAAGGGAAACGTGGGAAAGGGGTTGGGAACAACGACCAACGGGGTCTTTCTTGCGTAGTATGCAAAATAATTCAAATTCAATGAGACCACCGTTTAATGTTAGTGTCTCCCATTAGCTTGGAATGTCGTGAATACAGTTTCAGCTAATACATATTGGAATTCTTTGAAGCAGTAATGACTACGAAACTTTACAGATAAACATTTTGCTTTTCATTCGGGCGCCCTGAAACATCTCGACGATATGCAGGGGGACGGACAGAGCTGAAAATGCTGCTGATCTGCAAATATGTGCATAGATCGTGTGGTTTTACTCAGTGACTTTATCTACCTCTTTCCTCTCTCTCCCCTTCGGCCTCAGGGAGGCTGTTGTCGTTAGTGGCAGATCGATACGCTGCTTTTGCTTACACGCCGCCTCTCGCCCCCCCCCCCCCCTNCCCCCCCCCCCCCCCCCCCCCCCCCCCCTTGCCTCCTGTCTCTCCTCACTCTCCTTCATTCTCTTCTTCTCTTTTTTCATTCTGAACACTTATGTTAACACACTAGTTATCTTCATAATGACATGTGCTTTTCACGGTAATCAATCATATGGTGGTGTCCTATAGATACTATTAATTCATTATCTGTTACTATTACTTGAGTTACTTGCTTGAAACCTCAACAAATTGACTGCGCTCATCACTGATCAGGGATGAACTGCTTCTGTGACAGCACGTTGGCTAGCATGTCAATGTTTATGATTCGGTTTAACAACGGCGGGTTGGAGTTTGTCGCAACAGTACGTAGGGAGGGGCAGGGACGAGAGTTTGCCGGTACGTCGTAGACATTTCGCTCTCTTACACTCTCTCTCACCTTGTCACTTCCACTAATTTTCGTTCTTTCTCGTTTTCGCTGACCTTACGAAACTTTTCAAGTCGTTTGGTGTGTGTGTATATGTGTGATGTTGAGGGTCGTATACTGCAATCATACTTCATTCTTCTGAAAAACGCCCAATTCACAAATGTTTGATGAACGTTGTGCACATCCCATACTTGATGTTCGTATGCTCCGATTTGAAAGCTCCGTTTGGATGCTCCAAAACTCACTCTCAACATCGCCTATAGCCATCCCTCCCTGCGAGCAATCGAAGCCGATGTTCTCGTCGGCTTCGATTGCTTTCTCGACTTTGCCGTTCACCTAAATGCTTTCTCCTGACGATAGCTCACCGAGACGGACCAAAATGGAATGAGCTTCTCATGTTCCCCTTTAGACAAGCAGCTACTTTGGTCCCTTGGCTGAGGTTTACCACTTGTCGTCTAATCTTTACGGTCAAAACTTTCAAGATTCTCTGGAAATACCGCTTGACGCTTACTGTTAGTTGCATCATTTGGATGTTAGTTGCAAATAAGTATTAGTGAGCTTTTTCATGCCGAAGTCTTTGCTACGGTTATTTCTCCTTCACGCGATTACTTCAGTCATTTCCGGTGTCTTGTTTATGTGTGGGCTGTGACATGACACACACGGGGTGAGATTATCAACGGTTGGGACAGCATCATTAACAGCACATCCACCGTATCCCATCTGACTCTCGTACAACTGAAGCGCTCGATCTCATGCGGTTCTCGTTGTCGTCGTCGTCGTCGTCGTTGTCGCCACCGACGACGACGTTGCTGGCGTCTGCCAGTGTTGCTGGCAGCGTGCTAATTGCTTCTCGGTCGGAATGGAGTGGTGGATTGGGCAGGCGCAATCGAATTACGACTCTCCTGAGTTGCCGCACATCCGGTCGGTTCGCTGAGCGTTATCACTCATCGCCTTCTCGTTCGCCACTCGTGTGTGTCGCATCGCCGCCAAAAACGTCAGTGATGCGTCGAACCATATTGTCGCGGGTGTCAACTGCCATCATGTGCTCTGCCACCAACAAATCCCTTTCATAAATACGACGTCCCGAACCGCTTCCTTAACGGGGGTAGAGGAAGTGGGAAAGAGTAGTTTTCGAGAGTTTTTCTTCGTACCGCTCAGGTCATCGTTGGATGCCGTTGTGACAGTTTTGGATGAATTTTTGAAGCTGTGGCGTAGCACCCGTTACGACGATCCTCAGCGTTGTCGGTATGTGCTAGGCGTGTTGGTCGTGAGGTGGTCGGGTCGCATTTGCCACTGCGCTTCAAGGTTGTCGCCGTTAGTGAGCTCGATCGCGCCGCTGCGATATCTCGTCTAGTCGTGTCCCCTATCGACCATTCACTTGGCTATCTGATCATTTTGATCGTTACTGTGGATCAATTCGACCCTCTCTATACCTACAGGAAGATCTTTATAAGGATGTGATGACACCAACAAATGGAAAAACAATTTGATAGTGCCATAAACAGTAATCAGTCTTTCAAATGTTACCATGTACGATTTCATTGTTAGTGTAAGTAAACCAATATGGTGGAGTCAAACGCGTTTCGCTCCATAGCTTTTTGATAAGGCTGCAAACATTTGCGTCACAATTCTAATCAGGTGTCGCTTGTCGTCATGCTATAAAGTTGAAATAACCATCGCGAAAAGCTCAAGGGAGCAAGTTGTCAAAGTTGGAGCAGTGGCGGTGTAGATGTACTGCGGTTCTGTGATCTAAAATAGGATCAATGTCATCGGGGGCGCAGGAATGAGCGAATCTTGAGTGGTATCCGAACGACTAACATAAGTGTGGTACTTGACTTGTCGAGTACTTTCGCACTGTCCGTCTCGTAGGTCGACCCTGTGTCGGCTAACGTTTGCCACTCGTACTTTGTGCCATCACATAGGGCGTTTTGTTTTTTGCTGCAGCTCGTTTTTCCTGTGATTCCGATACTGTTTGAGAGCAGCTCGCTGTAGCTCTTGTGCGATGTTATCAGATTCGACTTTTTCATTTGAATCTAAGCCATCGTTTGTCACTCAAAGCCCTCCTCAAGTCTTTATTTATAGAAATGATAAATGCCACATTGATTTTATCAATTGGAGAACCAGTTTTTCATTCGTCTCTAGCTAACTGGTTATGGAGACATGTACGTGATTACACTATGCGCATGGCCTCTGAAATTGATATTTGACCATATCAGATCACTTCCGTTTGCCAGGGATTTTTCGCTCCAGTTTTTGGACCACATTTGTTTTCTTTTTGACGTATAAGTAAACATATCTATCTGAATGTGAGTCATCGAATGGCTTTTGCCATTAAACTAGCCATTTTGTAGCACGAAACTACGTGTTACCATGAAGATAACGGTAATCCGTTGCTTTTTATCCCTCGATTCGTCTTCCTTCCTTTCATCCCTCCTTTTCATGATTCTTCGTTGGCTGTTGTCTGAGAGTAATTCGTCGTTTTCTTAAGTGTATCGATTGTCGTGCTTGAAGTAAGAGGAAAAACTATGGCGACGACGACAGCAAAGGCGTTAGAAATATTTTTGTTCATTACGACAAGTGGCTGTCGGGGGCTGTGTGCTGGCAGGCGGCCGGCTGTATCGGCATGGAGACCACTTGGTGCTTATGCCCTTCTATGTGCATTGAACGCCTGCCCCCCCCCCCCCCCCCCCNCCCCCCCCCCCCCTCACCCTTTCCCCCCTGTGTCATGTACCCCGTGCATATGTCAGCGTAGTTCGGCAAGTTTCTGAGCGCTCTGAAGAAAATAATGAAAAAGTCGTTCATAAAAAGTACGCGATTAGAGATCGGGGCGTGCCTTTCTATTTTAAGGGCTCTTTAGTTGTATATCTGACAGCGAAGTAAATTGATAGCTCCGGCAGAGATTTCCCCTCAACATTCGTTACATCCTTTTCACTTTCCCATATTTACACGCTTTCTCCCAATAGTACTTTTAGTTCGGTGGCCACTACAAGTGATACAAGTATTCGATAGATATGGTAGAGTACTCTAGGTAATCAATGAGAAGTTAACAATCATATCAAATTAGACTTTAGGGGTATGAATATATTGAGATGAAGTTTTCATCTACGTGTTTGAGTGGTCTGTTCATGGTGCTCACCCCATCTCACCCACTCATCACCACTTTTCGAAACGCGATTATTTACCCGGCAACCCAACACCTCTTCCCTCCCCCGTGTGCTACCTCCATCAGCCAGTGTATGCACACATCAGTCGGGCAGATGCACCGTGATGAAATGCTTGTAAAAATTTCTGTTGGGGCAGGTTTCAGGCTTCAGAAAATGGAAGCGCCCTAGTGCGCTGTAGTGCTATGTATAGGAATTACTGATCACACAGTAGTTCCGATTTCACTTGTCCGAACTTAATTGAAAACCCCGTCTTCCCCCCCCCCCCCCCTTCCAGTACCGCGATACCAGAATTGCAATGGCCTTGCATTAGGGTGCGCTTGACTGCTTCGCTCTCGTTCTCAGCGTTGGTGATCATCATTTTTAGCTGAGGATCGTGGTTGTTTCATCGACTTCCATCCCTGTTACGCTTTGATTTGTGTGTTTCACCAAATTCGTCGAGCTGCTTGCGCTAGACATCGAATTAAAGTCGAGTCGTGTTAACTTACCTTTTGTACTTGTGGCCGGCCGTCACGATGGTTCACTCACTCACAGCCTAACAAGACACACACCACGTCTTTTGCGTGTTTTGAATCGTTGTGGCAGCAGTGTTGCGCCTCTATGCATAGAGATGTGAGCGCTGATAGTGTTGAAGGCGATGCTGCGCCTTGTTCGACCCACCAGTCCCCTCTGCTCTCCCCCAGACTCCACCCATTGTTCAGTTCGTTCGTTGGCCCCGTCCCGGGTAACGGTATCGCAACGTCATATTCTTAAGAAGATATGACGTTGACATGGATTTGTGTTGCGCCAATGATACCGACAAATGAAATCGTCACTGGGAATGAACGAACGAACGCATGGCTACATATATCCGACCGCCGCCGCCTCGCCGGCCAGCCGGCCCCATGAACATGAAAGTCATGGCGTCAAGTCGACGACGGAGTCAGACGGAGATTTAACAGCATCAAGTGATCTTTTGTCGTCCCAAAAGCATATGTCCCCCGATCCTTGACGTTTCAACGATGGTGAGGATGTTTATAAATATGTTGAACTTTGGGATCACAAACCACCAGTACGGGGATTCATAATACGCATGCCAAGTTCCTCCTAACACGCTTCTAACATTAAAGCATCTCATATATTCTGCTCTGTTTCCGTTTGTTTTCTGAGAATTTTATTTTCCGATTTACTATCGCTATAATCATTTGCTGTTTCACACCTGATTATGAAGTTTAGTTAGAGTTGTAGTAAATATATGTATGTTTACCCATTTATGAGATTCGAGCACGTGCTCATTTTGCTGCCGTATTTTCACTTTTTTCAGCACTTGTTTCAGCACTTCCTTCCTTCATTTCGCCATTAAATCCGTTAGCTACTATTTATGAAATGTTATTTTTGCAAAATTAAAAAAGAGCGATTGCTTTTACCTGTAGGCCGTCTACAAATCTCAAACCTCATACTCGTTTCCGTCGTTCAACATTTCTTTCCTGTACTTGTCTTGTACGATAAGGAAAAGGGCTTTTAGAGAAGTTCTAGGCGTAGTTTTATGCCCTTGTAACTAATCGGTTATCATTTGCCGTTTTGATGAGCCTTTTCTCCACCTCTTCTGATAAGCGCCGGGTCGAGTTTGTACAGCAACAATTCGTAGGTCTCTCTGTGCATATTACATGTCAATCTATTTGGGAATGCTTCAATATCATTAAAATCTATGACATATGTAAGTGATTATAGTCTTTTACTTTAATCAATGTACTGAGATGAGATAAAAACTGAATGTTGTCATTACTTAGTGATGATGCGTTTGTTCGGGGTATCACCGCATGTCTGTATTGTAATTGGGAACGACATGTGTGCCAGTTGCCCGGCTGCTACCAGCGTCATCACTTCTTGAGCTCTGAACGGATATCTATTGATTTTTCTGGCTTCCGATAGATTGCTAAATCGAAATACGGGATTTTGTTTTCTAAAAATAATCGTTGATCTAGATGTCGCTCCTTAATCGACACTCTTCAAAAATTCTGATGATGGCAAGCTGGTTATCAGCATAGAGCTGTGTCGTCGATCGGTTCTTCTCCGAGAAACTCTCTGAAACCAGTATGAATGCGTTTCAGGACGGATTCTCGGCCGCCTTCTGGAGGCGAAATCGCAGTCGCGGCAGCGGGCGACGATAAGCTGGACTCCTTCCTCATCACCGTCGTCGCACGGGTGTGGCACCCGGACGAGGGCCTCCCGACAACATATGTTCACTCGCGCTTTCTGGCATCGATTGTTTTAGTAGTGCAATGAATTTTCGTAACTTGCTCCATCACTCAGCAGTATTTTGCAGAAATTTTTAAATTTTTCTCTCCAGAAACTTCACGGTTTCGCGATGGCTTGGAAATTGGAACAAGCTTCTTGTCAGATAAACAATCATTGCGCCAGCATTCCTTGAAACGTCTTCTCCATTTCTAGGTGTCAACATTTTTGCTGAATTTTTGTTGGTGTCTCCAGATGGATACATCTCTTCTAGCTTCGTTCCAGTTTTTCTACGTAAAAATTCTGTTTCGAAATTTCACGTCGGAGTTCAAATTTTTCTTGAATCCTATTGGTTTTCCCATCATATTTAATTCGTGATCGTACTGGGAATCCTGTGAAAAGAAATAAACATGAAAATAAATGTTCTTTAAATAATGTTCATTGCAGGCAGGCGGCCGTGTGTGCTGGCCATCAGTTTCTCGTTTGGGTAGACTGCCGGAGCGAAGCGTCCTTCTCCCTCCTCTCTTTTTCCACTTCTTCCTTGCAGCTTTTTTCCCTCATCTCGCTCCATTTACGATCATCATCATCCCATCATGGCTAAGGGCAATCCGATAGAGGAAAATACCACTGTGAGTTTCCGTTTGCTCCTGTGCTGCTTCACGTTTCTTTTTTTTTCTAGACGTCCTATGCAATGTTAATGTTGTTTTTGTCCCTTCTTGCCGCTTCTCTCTCTCACTGCTAAACGAAACATATTTCGCGTTCCATGGTCGATTCCCGCTTTTGAATAATTTATGACGCGAATTTTGGTCCATATGACATGTAAGCTGACGGTGGAATCGTCGCTAGAATTCCTCATCTTAGAAATGCCATGCCATGTTTGTATGTGTTAGCTCTAGATTTCGTGCTGTCGACTGCATTTGCATATTCACACCCCGAGGAGTGCCACTTGCCACTCTAACTCATGTGTGTGCTTCGCGTATGTCTCTCGTCGTCATATACGGACTTCTGTAGCTTCTTCGTTCTGTCCACTATGCACTTGTGTCGTACATGCATGTAACACGACGACGTACACCTTGCACGACGGTTCTGCCAGCGGCATATCTTCACGTACAGGATTGGATTTGTGCCGCCGTCTTCAGCGGGCTATTATCGGTGTTGTGTCCCCGGTTGTGATTCCTGAGCCCGAATGATGTATCCCCAATCGTTGTTAGCGTTTTTTACGAAGTACAATCGTGTCGAAGTGTTCAGACTTATCAACACACACAAGCAATTACGATAAGCAACTGGGTATTCTATTTTTAAAGACCGATTCGTTGATTTTGTGCTGTGCTGTGTGTGAATTTTCCGTTTTCACCGGACAAGCGTTGATGGCAAGCAGCATTTGATCGCGCTTATCTGGTTTATGAGCGTTTCGCTGTCACTAATATGTGCAGTTAAATCGATAAAGACAGAACTTATCGAGTGGAATAAAAATGTTTTCGATAGATGATGATCGATAGTAATATTTTGGTGTATTGTTTACAAAAGTAAAGACGAAATATGTTTTTAGCTGATGAATGGCAACAACAAGGCAGCAGATTACGATGAATCTTTCTCACGCTTTCTTTATAACAAGGACAGAGGAACAGTTCTTGGCAGAACGGCAAAATCGTGGTGTGAGTGGATTTGCATCTCTAACGAAGGGGGGAAAAGAATTGATGGGGAAGAATGAACAAAAAGGAAAACCTTCAAGTGGGAAACGAACTTGTGGAAGATATGAAAAATGCATAGCTGTTCGTGTTTTTTTTTTTTTCGTGGCCAAGAATGTTCTGGAAATCGTTTCTGCCGCTTCACTCGAAGACACTTCATCTTGAATTTTTTTTTTCATTTTCTCTAACTGAATTATTAATTTTTTCCATGATTTCCTCAAATCCTAGCCACCAGTTAATCAATGATTTCAGGCCAGATCACAGTTTTCTACATCATCTTTTATTCCTGCTTAGCTGCTTTCTGGATTGCTTGCCTTGCAATATTCCTCAGTACGCTCGATCCCAAAGTGCCACGTTTCTATGGAAAAGGCACAATAATTGGCATTAATCCTGGTAAGTGTATCTTCTGGGTGTACCCAACGAAACAAGCAAAATTTTCTAGTTTTTCTTTATCAATTCTTTTTTTGAAAATTATTTTTATTCCTTTCTGCCTCTCGTTACAAGCTTTTCTACGTAGTTCTAATTTTGATTTTTTTTTGTCGTCTCACGTAGTTGTCTCCGTACGTTGATTTATTATTTGCACAACGGGCTTTTCTTTTATTCACTTTGATCTTGTCCCGTTTGCGTCTACTGGGCACTGTTTGACTACCGTCAGCCATCTGCTGCTTCTAACGCATGAACAAACATTAGACTAGTGAACTTGGGTATGAAACGTCCAATTTGCTTCCACCTGCACCTTGGCGAACGTATTATTTTGGACATTTTCCGGAAAGCAGAAATTTGGCCCGTCCTGAAAAAAGAGGCTCTCATTCCAGTAACTGTCTATTATATTTTTGCTAGGAAATAAAGCGGTTGTTGGTTTGATGAGGTATGGATGCCAAAATCGAACCGATCAGTCAACGTACCACGCCGGCGGTGGTCTTAACTTGATCCTGCAAAAACCCGAACTTGCACACTTCAAGCCCGAATTTCACTGTTTGAGAGGATTTGTGTAAGTCATTGACGTAACCGGCTCATCCAATACGTCGTATTGTCGTGGTTGGAATGACGCTGATCGCCTTTTCTCCCCTCCCACTCTACCTCTCATCGCTAAACGCCGTTTCAGCACACCCGAAAAAAATCCTAAAAATAGCCTAAGTACATTCCAAAGAACTTTTGCAGTGTTGCGTCAATCGACATGATCTCTGATTGCCGTCGCAGTGAACTTTTCCGTATCTCTCTCGTCGTCGTCGTCGTCGTCGTTTTCTTTTCACGCCTACCCCTTTATGACCGATCGAACTGGCTTCATCTCGTCTGTAATGTGATGATCGTTGAGAATATTGCATCAACGAAAAGCAGACCGACTTCTCCATATTGATGTGCTTGCGTCACCCCCCTGTGACAAAGGGAACGGAATGGGCGAATATGTGAAAATCGTAGAGCTAAGCCGTTAGCCAACAAAGACCTTGGCCATAATAGCAATGGCCAATGTGAAATTGCCGCGTTTTAGGCAGTCGATGGGGAAAGCGGAGCGAAAGGAGCGCTCGAAGGAGGCAGCATGTTCAGCGGCGGGCGAATGACGATTAGAACAACTGCTGAGGAGTAGCTGCATTTGGTGTTGAAGTGGGAATTTTGCACGCCTGAAGGATGGAGCGCTTGGGAGGGAGGAAGTAGTAATTCGTTTCTGATGATGTCAGTGTTTACTCTCCCCTCTCCCTCCCCCCC